ACATTTCATTCTAACCATCCTTATTATTATCATTAATGTTTGTACTGCCTTGTGATTGACGTGGTTGCCTAACAGTCTGTTGGTCCCTCAACTCTATAGTACACAATTTAACAACCAATGATTTTTATTTTGACGCTGCCTTGTGGTTGACGTAGCTGCCTTGCAATTTGTTGGTCCCTCAACGATAGCGTTTTTCATCGACTAAGCCTTTATTTTTACACTGCCTAATGGTACGTATTATTTTTCATCATTTTGCACTAACTACACTTTCTACACACACTTACTTTGTCCTATTAACCCACTATTTTTGGGGAGATTTGGAAACCCTTTCACTAGGAATTCCATAACTGTACACCTGCAATGTCACAAAGGTTGCTAGATAATTCCATTGTTTTATATAAAAAAATAGAAAACAGCTTTATAGCTCCGTGTATGTATGACCTCTTCAAAATATGTGAAGTTTACTGTAGGAAAAATACGAGGGAAAACCTTAATCTCAAAAGGACTTTTGTCCCAAAAACTTAAGATGTCACATTAAAATGCTTCTCCAGAAATTAATACATATTCTATACCGGGATGTCTCAAGAGGACCAAGGGATGACTCATAGGGACCCCTATAAGCGACGGCAAAAGATCTTTGTTTGAACGATATGCACGACAAAACCTTTACACGTTACGAACATATAAAGCAAACATTTATGGAAACTTCAAACCTTCCTTACAGAATGGTAACTCTTTGCAGAAGAATATAGATTTAAAATGAACGAGGAAATCGACTGCAGTAATTTTCAGCCGCCATATTGAATATTTGCCGAGTCGTCTGACGTCAATGTTTTGAATATTTAGGAAGGTCCTTTTGCACCATCTCTTTTAATTGCAACCAATTATTGTCTACCCTTCTGAGAACAATGTGTTACTGTCAAGAATGTTAATGATCTATGCAGCCAAAGGAATAAATTAGTTTAGAACGATGAAGGAGCCAAAGGAATAAATTAGTTTAGACCGATGAAGGAGAGATGATTCACGCATTAGGTCGTTGACTCAGTAGGTGTATCTCAGGCAAGTTTGTGATTAGTTTCAAAGAAGATGCTTACCTTGTGGCCAAAGTTCTCACTCGTCGACAAAATAACTAAGATTAACGTATTTCGACTGAATCCACTGCATAAGATTACACTCGGGGCACGAGTTGTTAGAGATAGCGGGAAAGTGTTCGAGTCACACGCTCACTTCATCGGTACTAGACATGGCCGAGTTGATGTTTGTCATGAACCATCTATTGTTGGATCTTACCGCGGAGTTTCAGCTATGGGACTCCTATGGAGCATGAAACCGTCACCTGGGCAGAGAAAAGGAATTTGCTAGACGAAATCTGATGTCACTAAGCCTTACAAAGTCGTCCTGGACTATTTTGATGGCCATACGGATCCGCAGGAATCAAGTTCTTTGCAGCCTTTGTCTAGCAATACGTTTGAGAAGGGGTACATGGCGGATGGAGTGAAGAGAATTCCTGTGACAGAAAGAAAAATCCGTGGAACTCTTTCTCTTCGCAGGGTGATGGACCTTTTTCTGGTGAGTAGCGAAAGTTTGATGTTTATCTAAAAAAAAAACCATTAGTCAAGACTAGAATACTTTTTTTATAGATTAGAATTTAAAAGGAATTGATCGAGTGGCAATCAGAATCTGTTATTGGGCTCTACAGATGTGTCATGATCTCTTAAAAGTGATAATGGTGTTGGACATACTATTCAGGTTTTTACCAAGAATCACTTTTTTGGTTGATCACTTCTGTGTAATGTTACGGGTCGTAATTCAGAAAATATTACTTTTCCTCACTTTACTGTTGTGCTACTTCAACAGATCAGCAACGATCTATTTCACTCACCGCGCGCTGCGAAACGTTTGTCTGCAAACCCCAACCCCATCCTTCCACGCTGCAAGGTGATCTTGAAAGAATAAAGGGATGTGAGATGTGGTTTTATCAATGGTTCAAACCATTTCATTAATGCAAGAACTCTTAGAATATCTTATTTGTTTTAAACCGCTATGAAGGGTCCCTTTTATTCTCTTTGTAATCTCAGGCTTTAATTACTCCAGGAAAAGAAGTTAATGATCTCTCTCGCTGAAAAAGGGTTGCATAGGTTTTGGACCAACATCGCAGTTTCTGTTCGTTAATCCAGTACTAAAATACTCGTTAATAACAAAAATTATAAAATAATTCAAATAGTACGCGCGCTCTGATTGGCCATAAAACCATTTTACATGAGCGTATGTAAACACGGTTTTTGTTCCTCTTTTATTAGTTGTTTTATAAAAGAAATGTAAAATGGTTTCCGTGTTTACCTAGCCTGATGTAAACACTTGGGAGGCTGGGAGAACACTCGATAAGCTGGACACCACTCCGCTTCGCGTCGTGGTTTCCCACGCTTATCTCGTGTTCTCCCAACCTCGTGTGTTTACATCAGGCTAGGTAAACACGGAAAACATTTTACATTTCTTCAACAGTAATGGTCATAAGTAAAAATTGATGATCAAAATGAGTTCCTTGCACTGAGTACGGCTCATTTCGCAATTCGGCATGGTGTTTGCACACCATTTAATTTTATACGCTGTCTGATGCTTTGGCATTCTTCTGGAAAGGAGAGTCAATATCTGGCATCTAAAATTATTTTTATCCAAAAACCTATTATTGTAATGCAAAAGTTTCTTTTGAAGTAAAAAAAAAAACAACAATAAACCTGCTGAAGTAAAAGACATGAAAGAATAATAATCTCCAATATCACCAGAGTTTATTGTTTGGATGTGTCGTAGCCTCCAGCAGTATTTTATTTAAGCCTAAGTAAATTTTATGTCATAAAGTAACACTGGTGAAATTTTTTGTCATCTAGTATTTAGCTAGTATAGGTAATCACATGATTTCAAGTGTAATTTGAAATAAATAAGCACGAGTAAACTTTTTCAAAGACTAACAAAATCAAAATTGCACGTGCCCTACGGGCTCGTGCAATTTGTGGTCTTTGTGGTCAGCGATGGATGTAAAGCGACAAAGATTTTATAAAATTATGGAAAAATGCACAAAGCTTTGTATGGAAGAATAAAAGATGAACTTCAGTTAAACATAATCGAAATAGGACTCCATGAGTGGAGTCCATTAGTGGAGTCCACAAGTGGACTCCATTTTGGCCCATGATCATATGAGTGACTAACAAAATCGTAAAAGCAATGAAAAAATCTCTGAAGCTACAGTAACAATTACCTTTCCATGTGAACAAATCATAATGAAGCATGATGTGGATAAATTTAATCTCACCCAGTTTGAATGTTGAATCCGAAATCTAATAAACTTACTAGTGAATAGGAAAAAGCTCAATGTGTTTTTTCCTCCTTCTGTCATTCTAAATATCACGAATCAATCATGCCACCACCTCAGTGTGGTTTTTTTAAGATGTGTACTTTTTCTTATGGTCATCTATTTTTAGTATCTACCTTCTACCAGCTGACATCTGAGAACAATCAAGTCCACACTGGTGATTTGACACATTGTAAGCAAACCCTACAACTAATTAAATTTTATTTGACAAAACACATGCAGGGCAATAGAGGAAACTGGTTAGCACAATTCAGGTTTCCCTTCTTAAGTATTCTGTGATCGTTTCTTCTACCATAGGGTAAAGTTCACAGTTTCCCTCATTTCACTGTCTTCTGTTCATGTTTGCTTTCCTAACAATCTTGACCAATTTTTTTGTTACATTTGAAAGCATAAGAAAATTTTAATCTTTACAA